TGTCATGCGCATCTCATCAGTAAAGCCGGTTCTGTGATTAATAGTAAATCTCCACCACGTGCTTTCAGATGGAGCGGCATTTAATACACAGAGCCGTATATAGATCACTGCTATATCTGTTGTAATTAATGTTGTAATTAATTTATAGCATTAACAAGATGACCCGTTGAATTCATTTTGGGAGCGATGACTGATTGAATGTATTTTTAGTCCAGTGCCTGCATATAAGATTAGTATTGACCAAGTTCAGAGGCTGTCATATGTGGATCAACTTACTGTGTTGTGTATTTTCAACAGTTTCAATATGAAAAATAATCTTTATATTGATTCAGTGGATTTATTGCATTTTGAAGGAAAAAAAAGTGTCATGGATTTATTGCATTTTGGGGAAAAAAATAGTACAATTTTATAATAAATCTTTGAAAATCAAAATCTGGATTTGAATTTTTAATGTTATTATAACCTAAAGATGCTATGTAAAAGTTTGAAACAGAAAATAGTGGTTTTCATCTTGCCACTTTCTTGGTAAAGAAAACATTTTTACTCATTAATCAAAATGGATTTATAGCATTTTGGAACCAAACTCTTCATGTATATATTTATATTCATATAATTTATATTATATATAAATATATTTCAAATATAAACATAACATATTTTTCCTAAATATATACATGCATGTGTGTGTGTGTTTTTATATACATAATAAATATACACAGTAGGGCTGTCAAAATGACTGAAAAACTAAATTAAAATGTTCTACTTAAATATTATCAAAATTCGAATTATATTCGAATTTAAAAGGCATAATTTCAGTTAGGGGAAAAAAAAGCTTTTGGCTTCTCTCCTGAGGCCACAAGAGGGCGCATCGTGCAAAATATTATGCACGTTTCTTCAAAGCGTAATAAAATAACACGACTATCTTTGAAAAAAAGTGCATAATGTTTAAAATAATGTTTATAAACCATATATAAGTAATAAAGTTGCTTAAACAATTAGAAAAAAAATAGCACCATGCATGTATGTATAGTTTAATACAAAGGACCGAAAACCAATCACAAAGAGTAGGCTACTTTCTTCATTTAAAAACATGAGATACAGTGGGGTGGGGAAAGACCGCCATTAAGTCTTGAGACATGTTTTTTAAAAGTTGAACTTACATTAATTTTACATGGCTTTCTAAACATGCCGCTCTCTTGTGCCAGACACGAGTGCAACGCTGATAGATGTCCCTCTAGAAAATGTGATAAATATGCATTCTGTGTGAACGGCTTGGTTTCAGTTTTGATGTAAACAACATCTTCTCCACACTGATGCTCTCATTTTCCGCAATATATTGAATGAACAACGTAGCAGTGCCGCATCTAGTGGGTTCAACTGGATAGGCTAACAAAAGCAATGACACTTACATCGTCGTCGCATTTCGTGCGCCACTGATAAGGCTGCCTGACGGCTGACGCAGGCCTAAAATTCGAATGCAACGTGATATTTAAAAATAATATACAGTATGCATAAAGTGACAGATTTTGTTCAGAATTAAATGCTTGCATACTGCATACTATGATGTATGCTGTATGCATATACTGTATATTGCTTTTTTTAAATATGTAAAGAAGTATGCATTATGCAATGGTAAACAAACAGTACTATACTATGTTGCTGTCACATGACCTCAATATATTGTAGTTTCAACCCACCCAGCTGTCAATCCAAATATGCTTTAAAATGTCTTAACTGGCACATAATAGTGTGTCAAAAATTCCATTGCATTCAGCACACTAGAAACTGTAAGATCTTTGCATTATGGGACACAGTGCTCCATGCATACAGAGGATTTGCATACTGTGCACAGTATAAGCATGAATTATTAATGCATACAATGTCAGTAACAAATCAATAATGCAAACGCTTGCTCTCTTTGACTTTCAGGATGGTTGATGTTGGGGGTCAGAGGTCAGAACGCAGGAAGTGGATCCACTGTTTTGAGAATGTGACGTCCATCATGTTCCTGGTGGCTCTGAGCGAGTACGATCAGGTTCTAGTGGAATCGGACAACGAGGTAAGCGATTCATTTATTATAGACGTGTTTATCTTTACACTGCACTCTATCCTTACACTATTTCACATACTGTTTCTATGCAAAGCAAGTTTAGTTATATAGTACCATTCATACACAATGGTAATTGAAAGTGCTTTACATAAAAGGTTTTAAAGATAATCCTAAAAAATGCATAAGAAATAAAAAATCAATAGAAAGTTGGAAATAAAAATGGATAAAAAATTTAATTAAAATATTAAAGCTAATTTTAAGGAATAGTAGACCATATTCAGTATAAAACTGCAGTAAGCAGCATATAGCTGCTGCTTGAAGACCAACAGTGTAAACATTTCTACATCTTTCATAAATGCTAGTTCTGGACTCAAGGCTCTAAAAGCTTTTATATTATTGGTTGGTGAGTTTTACTGTGCATTTTGACATATATGGCGATCCACTCTTTGTGTCTGTGTTCAGAATCGTATGGAGGAGAGCAAGGCTCTGTTCAGGACGATAATTACATATCCATGGTTCCAAAACTCTTCTGTCATCCTCTTCCTCAACAAGAAGGACCTGCTGGAGGAGAAGATCTCCTACTCCCACCTGGTCGACTATTTCCCAGAGTTCGATGGTATGTTGTTGTTTTTTTGTTGTACGGTGATTTTCATGTACACTGGTTTAATGCAAACAGTACCAATGTATGCATGTGTTTTATTAGCTATTGATGTCATTAGCTTTTCTGTGACATGTTTGAAAGGCCACTATAGAGCGTAACAGCAGTGAAAATGTTGGTTAGAATCAACAAAAGGTCATGGAAATGTCTATTGTCAATACATTTTATAAACTCTACATCACTCTTCAAAAGTTTTGGGTAGTAAATTAATGCTTTTATTCAGCAAGGATGCATTACAAAAGTGACTGTGAAGACATTTATAATGTCTAAAGATTTTTATTTCAAATAAATTATTTAGATTCGTCAAAGAATCCTCGGAAAAAGTTTCAATTGTTTGTGAAAACCCTGATCTTTTTTTAACTAATATTAATGTGTAATATTTCTTGAGCAGCAAATCAGCATATAAAAATAATTTTTTGAAGGATCATGTGACACTGAAGACTGGAGTAATGATGCTGAAAATTCAGCTTTGCATCACAGGAATAAATTACATTTTAAAATATATTCACATAGAAAACTGTTATTTTAAATTGTAATAATATTTCACAATATTACTGTTTTTACTGTATTTTTGATCCAATAAATGCAGCCTTGGTGAGCAGAAAAGACTTCTTTCAGAAACATTAAAAAATCTTACAAGCCCCATTTTGAACACAAGTATGTCTTAAGTGAGACATTTCTCAATGTCAATTTTTGTTCCAAATCAAATTATATGTGATTCATGTTGGAGCTGGTTGGTTTGATTCGTGGGGAGCAAATTAATAGGAAAGATGAACTTTTTCAGGTCTTCTGAAGTGTTTAACTCCATTTACACATTGTTTTGTAGGGCCCCAAAGGGATGCCCAGGCCGCACGGGAGTTCATCCTAAAGATGTTTGTGGATCTGAACCCCGACAGCGACAAGATCATCTACTCGCATTTCACCTGCGCCACCGACACGGAGAACATCCGCTTCGTGTTCGCGGCGGTGAAAGACACCATCCTGCAGCTAAACCTGAAGGAATACAACCTGGTGTGAGACGTGCGACGAGTCCAACACATGAATCAGCATAGAACAGGCACCCACAGAGCGTGCGCACACCTACGTCCACACCCCACACACACACGCACACATACATGCATGCATCATGTACACTTTCAGAAACACGGTTCTTTTGATTTCTCTTTCCCAGCTTCCAGAGTTTTTCTCTTTCTGTCCAGCGGAATCATAACAGACGTGTCCTGCTCGTCATTTGTTTTTTATTTGTTTGCCAAAGTCTGTCCTCTCATCCCCGGCAGCTCTCGTCAAAGGCCTCTTTCCCTTTTATCAAATTTGACCACCGAAATAAAGTGGCTCGGATTTGACAAAGGGCGTTAGACTCCGACTCGCCGCTCCAACGTTCGCGTATTTCATGGAAATGTTGGATTGGCGGAGCTACGATGAGAATGATCTGTGATACGCTGGCCTGAAAAACTGGAAGTGACATTCCTTCCCCTTTCCTGTACTATCACTCGCTCCAATCACGTCATCTGCTCCGAGCGTTTCTCGGGAATTCTGCCTGGATGAATGGAAAAATTTGGTTTTCACAGCCCGGCAAAAAGAAAAAAAAAAAAAAAAAAAAAAAAAAAAAAAAAAAACACAACATACTTACATGGACACATGGACTAGTGCTGTGGTGCCGGAAGTTCCGAAACGGATCCTTCTAGAATTCCGAGGATTCCGGCGGATTCTAGAATCCAGTGGGTTCCAGCGGGTTCCACTGATGCTGTGGAGAACCTGTCACTCGCAGAGATGATTCTCTCGACGAGGCTAGTCTTCAACGCGCATCGATGAATGTAAACTTCATGTGAGAGCATCGCAAATGCAAAAAAAAAAAATTATGACAAAAAAATCCTAAAAAAATGATAATGAACGAAAATAGTATAAGAATGCCTATATAAGCAAAACGATACAAAGCACGCAAGGGAGAGATGAAACTAATTAAATCTGTGTATATTGCTGAGATTATCATTTTAAAAACTTTTTAATGATAAGTAACTATAGCTACTTCTACTGCTATCGAATATAAAGTAAATTATAACAGCAGTCGAATTATTGATGGGTAAGAGACAACGTTAAAGATTTTTAAATGTGCGCAAAACAGGATTACACATTTACGATAGGTATTGTTCTGCAGATTTCCACATTTAACGTTGAAAATGATTGCATTGCTTCCTTCCCCCATGGTTATGTTTTATTCTCCTTCCTGGTTTCGTTTTAATTTCGCAATCTAAAAAAGTAGTTTCGGAGTGAGCGATTATCCTTTTCCGCTCATGAACAGATGATCCAGGCCGCAGACTCGCGGGTATCGTCGTCGTCTAGCGGCACGGGTGCACACAATCCATTATTTGTTTACGCAGTTTTTAAACTGTCATAACGTAACTTCTTCGGTCGACAATTTCAAGAATTTCGCACGAGCTCCGGGGGAGGGTCGCGGGAGGATGGGGTCAGGGGGACAGGAAAGCATTTATGCGCTGAAGTTAATTGATTGTGTATATTTATATTTGTAAATACGTATACACATTGTTGCTTATGTACAAAACATCTGTGGTACACTATCTTTGGCAAAAAAGAAAAAAAATCACTTTTTCGTAATTGTGTACGGTTCTGTTGGTTTTCTTATGAATTACAATATTATTGATACTGTGATTCTTTGTTTTAATTTTTGATTTTTCTTTTTTGGTCACTATGAATACGTCAAATGATATACCCATAGCTGTACCTGACGGTAACGTGTGGAGGACGGACGTGATGAGCAATAGTCTAGAGCAGACTTTGGAAAGCGTTTGGAAACTTCGGAGACGGATAGGGAAACAGCCTCCTCCACTGTGTGAATGTTATATAGCATAAAAATAAAAATATGATTTTTAAGCAAAAGAAAAAAATTATTAAATAAAGAACGTTTTATTTATATAATTTATGGACCAGATCTGAAGTTGTTGATCATTTGAATGCTATTGTTTCCTCTTTCCTATTTGAAGCACTCCCATGTTATGAGACAGAAATAGGAGGCTAGTGTCTGTACTGCTGTATAAACCTCCGTTATGGATAAAATTATCAGCCTTTCTTTTTTTCTTTTTTTTCTATTATATTTTTTTCCCTCGAACACACAATATATTGTACTATAAATATTCTCCCTAACCACACTTTTCACGTTCCTACAGATTTTTTTTTTTTTTTATTGTTAAATTTCCAAATGATGTTTAGGTGAAGTGCTTAAAAACAAACATAGGAAATATACCATATGAAAATAGACAGCTTTTTATCTGTGATTGAAGATCTATTTGGTCGACGCTTGCAAGTAGTGACTTTTCCTTTCGATTCTGATTTCATTTCGATTTCTTTATAAATTCACAGCTTGTTTCCTTCGTTGTGTATGTGATGCACAGATAGAAAAAAGTGTTCTACGGTTCTTTTACAGTCGATATTTTATACAGGTGACGTTTCATTCATTTTCATCAAGGGCTACGAAAAACACGCCACATGAAAACCAGAAATGATTGGTCATAGTTCAAAGTGTGATTCAGTACTGGGAGAAACGCGATCAGAAATGCACCCATTCCGCCAAACACTCATGCATTATTCATTATTTTATCACTTTTGCTGCCATGCATCTGATTTAATCACTTGCCACGGTCATCGGACGCACTACTAGAGAAGCAAACTCCCAAACGCTTTCTTGATGGATATAAAACCTGACGTGTTATTTGTAAACTGGACCCGTGTAATTCAGTGTTTAAAGGCGGGCGTACACGGTGCGATTCTGAAGGTCGGAACGTCGTGAGCTCTGGCACATGTCACGATTGAGTTTATCTGAAAATCGTACGGAGGCAGTCTCACACGACACGAATTTACTACGATTTTACAAACTCTGACGTAAGCATTACGTTTCGCGCCATTCATAAAAATATGGATTCTGAGGACGAAATAGTTTTCTTTGTGGCAGGCGGTTTGTTACGTCCAAAAAAAAACTATAAACGAAGACCAAGGACATGGCAAAAACAAAAAAAACGCAGACTAAAGGACATGGCAAAGAGAATGGCTGAAAAGCAGAGAAAAGCATGGACTTTCTGTTCTTCATAAAGAACTCGAGGGAGTAGGCCATTTCTGAATTTCTGCTGGTTTTGCCGGAAATACAACAGGCATATTCATTCATAAAGCTGAGCGGCAAATTTGGCACATTCAGAATAACAAATTAAAAAATAGAACTGTATAATTAAACAAATTATTATAGACTATATGGTTTTTGTCATCTTCTGATTGGTCAACTTCAGATGGATCGCCAAATCGTCTCGTTCAACCGCACATACGCCACGAATTTAAACCGACAGCATCCGATTTTTTTTTGACATGTTTGAAAATTATCGGGAGGACGGGAGGTGCTCGTAACGTCTCAAATCGGCCCGTATTTCTTCTCACACGGTACGAGCCGCGACCATGCGAGCATCTGCGATTTTCTCGCCTGCGAGCTCGTACGACAGCAAAAATCGCACTGTGTACGCCCGCCTTAAGTGGGGTTTGGAAATGTCACACCATTTTGTAAATCCTGCAGTGTTTTCTTCGCTGTTCGTAGTGAGTTAGATTTGAAGAAACTGATGAAAGAAGCAAACTGAAATACTATCATTTTGATGTTCGTCTTACTCTAAAGTGTTCAAACGGATCTTAGTTTACTGCGACTTTCGAGGTTCACTATGAGAATGTGTTGCTTTGTTTTATCAAGAAAAAACAAAGGGGGCGTTATTCGGCGCAGCTTGATTGTTCTTAATGCACTTTTTGGTTTTCCCGTGCCACAAGGCAAACGCTTCGAGCTGCAGGCCGACCATTCGAGCTACATATATCTATAAATGTGCCAGTCCCAGAAGTCTCGTATTTGACGTTCCCTCAAAATCCTCTACCTCTGTGAACCGTGAGATGTTTTTCGGGCATTTTAGGATCGGTAGTCACGTGACAAGCACACTTTTAAGTCCGTAGGGCACAGTCAGTGAGGTTGGAGGCCAAACTTTGTTCATTTATTAGATCTTGCCAATGACCCGCATGTAAACAGGGCAAAAACAACACCTTTCTCAGGCCAAAGCAATCTTCCTAACAGGCCCGCCAAGTGGTACGTGGAAAATAGCGTCCGTCCCATGGCTTTTGTTTCAGTTCTGCAAGTGAATAGACATATCAGTTATGAAGGCTTTGGCTGTTCTGGGTAACAGTTTGGATATCATTTAGGCTAGGAAATACCATATACAAAGCATAAATGCTTGAGCAAAGCATTGCAAACATGTCTTGTTGATAATCCTCAGCACTCAAGAGGGCGCTAGAGTTTCCTTCAAGTGTCTGTGCCATTATACCGGATGTTATTATTCCTGAAAAGGAAGATTGGCTGTGGATGTTGCTTTTGTGGCAGCCAATTGCACTGTGTTCACTTTTGACTTATCCGGCTCGAAAAAAAATCTTACGCATTCCTATCTTTCTCTAGTGTGCATAAAATAAAGTCGCTTGCTTCTTGAGTTCTGTGTCTTGAGTTCTCATGATGGTTGTGATTCAGTTCAATGACTCTTTGCATTTGAGTGCTTGTAAGACTCGCTTAGTGAGATGCAATGAACACATAAGCGTATTGATGTAGTCAGATTTGCTGGCCCATTGCAGACAACAGAGCGAGACGATTATGTTATTTCCATGCAAGCATGTTTACTGGTACGGTTAGGTGCATCTGTGTGGTGGACGGTCGAATGGTTGACGTCCTGACCCAATGAAACAGTCATTAAAATGTGATTTCTGCTTTTCATCCCCTGTTCTTTCATTGTAATGCATTGCCTGAAAGCTGTTATTTCCAGGACCACTTGATCATGTACATTTTATTTGGGTTTTCTCATTCATTCTTTTTCTGCTTCTTTGTTCCCTTTTATTTTGTAATTATACCAAATTTAAATGTTGTATAATATTGTGCGTGCCAATGCCCTTCTCTGAGACTGACTCATAACAAGTGCCAATTGTTGTCCAAATCACATGCGGACTGTGAAATTAGACACGGTCCCCTTTTAAAAATGAGTAAAACACTAAAGAAGAGGGTAAATAGATTTACTTTGTATTTAAGTTAGAAGATAAACTGCTGTTTTTCCTCTTTTCCTTAACACTAAAGAAGAGGGTAAATAGATTTACTTTGTATTTAAGTTAGAAGATAAACTGCTGTTTTTCCTCTTTTTCCTTTTTTTTTTTTTTTTTAAGGAATTGTAATTATTAAAGCATGTGCTCTTTGTCCAGGTGGGAGTTGTGGGCTCAGACATACATCGAAATCCTCAAGACGAGAGAACATAGTGGAAATTTATTTTACAGCATTCTTGCCATATTTTATTGTTGTTTTTATTTGTATTCGTTTCATTTCAACCACTGTTGCCTGAACCTCATTCAAACATGGAAATGATTTTCATAACCGCCTTCTAAAAAAAAAAAAAAAATTATAAAGTATCTGTTTTAAATTTAAATAAATTTGTTCCTATACTTGCTGATGGTCTTGTAACTTGTTTTCTGTGCAGTGCCTGAAATGCTGAAGTGTTAAAAACCTGCTTTTAAAAAGAGGTTTCAAATGAAAGTCATTTAGTTTTATCTGCATTATAATTTCGGCACATAAAGTCCCTCATGCCCTTTATTTTCAATTGTTTGCCAAATATGGTTTAGCTTTTTGTCCAGAAGGAGGCACATAGAGATTGCATTAAGGAAAATATCTAAAATACATAAATATTAAAAACATTATATTATATTAATCCAAGGATGTTGTCTTCAACATACACCTGTAATATCTCCTCTATTAGAGGTATTAATAAATAACATGTTCAATACAGTGGAAATGCTCCCATGGGTGCAGTTGCTATTATTGCAGGTTGGAGTTGCTGTACACTTAGCAGGAACAAAAGCAGCGCAATTCCAACACCTTCCACCGACAGAACACACTTCCGGCTACTGTCATTTCATCCATTTGACATCTTAAAATGGGCCTCCTGAGCGCCACCTTAAATCCCGCATGCGAATGTACCAAAGTACGAATCCTACTACGATAAAGGATTGTCTCATGAATATTAATGACGCAACGTGGCGTTCGCCCCCTACGCCTTTCGGATTGGCTGCAATGCAAACTGGTCTAAATATAAAATTACTTCACTCTAGATATAGAAAAAAGGTTTATTAATGAATACAAACTGGATGATTTTCCCAAATACACCTTCCTAAAATAAATATTAATAATAATATTACTTAGTAATAGTATAATATTACCTACATATACAGTTACTGCAAGACACATTTATTTTGAGATGTTAAGTGGGTGTCAGAAATATACAAAAATATATATTTGGGTCGCCAAAGAAGTGCAAAATAAAACAATGAAACAAAAAATCTCTCACAAATAAAAAACAACAGATTTAATATTTAGCATCGGAGACCCAGGAGCAAGCCAGACCACTCATTGAATATTAATTAGATGATGTAAATGTACGCTCCCGGAAGGTTGCTAGGCAACGCGCACACGGCGTAATTAATATTCATGAGGAACGCCTTTCCCGTAGTAGAATCCGTAATTTGGCGTCTTGCTTCACACATGAGTCCGTCCTTACGAGTCCTGAAGCGGCGGAAGAGGCATGATTTTCCAAGCGCAGGCTGCTCTTTCACCGCCTTAAACCAGGCAGACGCGAGACTAGCGAACACGCGACCAGATTTAGACGTTTTTTCCTCATTTTCAAACGCATTTTGCTAATTTCCTGCAGTATAAACGTATTTATTAGCTTTAGCCAGGTAGCTTGTTTTTGGAAATCGGACAAGTATGATCAGCCTGGCTGTGGATTAATCGGCCTGTTTCGATAGAAGATTCATTTTTCTCTTGTGAAACCGCAATGTCACATACTGTAGTAAAAATAGCCTGTTGTTTTTGTTATTCCAAAAGCAGAGCTGTCTGAAGTTGAGGTAGGTTTGTAAAGCTGAACAAAATCCAGGAATTCACAGCCAGGAAATCTGTTCAGGAGAGCAGACTAAAGCCCTTTCTGCCTTTCTGACTCATCAGTTTAGACCACATCAAGGCCGAACAAAGAGGACATCCATCCAAAGCCTTTTCATTTCATCTTCAGAGAGAGAAAGCTGAAAAACAGGCTGATATGATGTTTCCACAAGCCAGACACTCGGTAAGTGTCTCGTTCTTCGTTCGTGCTGATTGTCACACAGCAGGTGTTGTGTATGGAAGCATATAGGTAGCGAAATTCAATTTAAAATGCATTTACTTTTGCACCAAACTTTGCACGTATAGGTAATGGAAAATGTAAATTTAAATACAGAAATACAATGCCATTTTGAATATTGCGTTGCCATTTTGAATATTGCATTGCCATTTTGCATATTGCATTTTAAATTGAATTTCGCTACTTATATGCTTCCATAGTTGTGGACATTGTATCACTTGATGTATTTTACGGATGATACCAACGCAAAAGTACCATTTTATTTATATCTATAATGTTTTGTGGACATGAACCCTCATAATAACATGTTTTTTGACGACACACCATGGTAATACCATGTTTTTGGAAATGGTACAATGGTAAAACGTGCCATGGCAATACCATTGTTTGTAGATATATCCCTTTACAAAAATGTACTTTGGCAGTACCATGGTACAGTGATGGCATCAGATGGCACTTACCCTTATGTATGAAATTCATGCTTTTTGTTGTATTCTTTAAAATGTGCTGGCTTTACATGTAAATACCATGCTATTTGAATATGCTAATGATTCAGTGTCATGAAATTATCATTTGTACCGTGGTACCATTGTTACTGCCACAGTATGGCGGTAATATTTTTTATAAGGGGTCATCCTGAGCTTTTCTGTTGTACCAGTCAAATAGTAACTGATAATAACAATTGTTTATTGTATACAATTGGTTATTGGTGATAATTGTTAAATTGTGTGTGTGTATATGTGTGTGTGTGTGTGTGTGTGTGTGTGTGTTTGTGTGTGTATTAGGGTTGGGCAAATTAACGCATTATCGCATTAACGCATTAATTGATTAACACTGACAATTATTTTATCACGCATTAACGCAGTTTTTTTATTATTATGAGTCCGTTGCTCACTGGCTCTGAATAGAGTGGGGGAACTATGACGTCACTTTGTAGGCCGATCGGCTGTTAGCATCGCACTGGTTCCCTCGACAAAAAGCCAATAGGATTTTTCCATAGGTTTTTGGATTATCGCAAAAAATAAGCTCTGTGTTCAGTCATAGTTCATGAAACTTACACGTTTTGTCCATCAAGATAATCTTCACAAAATAATACAACTTTTATGAATTTTGATGCCTAAATAAAAGCGCCAGAACTTAAAAGCTAAACTTATGGCTATAAACGAACTACAGCACGACGGTCACTCACCTTCAACGTCACCACCAGCATGCTCCCGACTACTTTTTCCAACTTATTTTTAACATGTTCAGTGAAAAGGATTTAGTCTGTATATGAATTTTAATCCACGCTACATAAACCTTTTCATATAAACTGGAATAAATGCAAAACTAGAGCCAAACTAAAACTGAAATGAGACATTAGTAATAAATAGTGTAGTGAATAAATGAAATAATCATAACTAAAAGACATATGAAAGTACATATTTCTGTACATTTCGAAATAAGGTGCATTAAAAGTCAATAAATCCTTGATTAATATGAATATTTGCATTAAAAACGTGTCTCCACGTACTATTCAATGAAATTCTAGTGCATTTCATCTATTAAATAACAGCAGAGTGAACGAGTTTTTGGCTACGGTAAGATTAAACTTATTTTAGTGAATAAAGTACCACATTTCAGCTATTATTTTGTTAGGATGGGTACACAATGTTATTTTATCCTTGCTTCTAGAAAATCCTCAATCTATATGCTTCCTAACCGCTTCATGTGGCCGTAAACATTTAATTTTAACGTGGCTTTAAGCACTATGCATCGTAAAACTTTCACTTTCACTGCGACTAAGCCGGTAAATGTGGTGTTTACATGGAATAATCATATGAGTTTACTTTATGGTGCGAACCCAGAGTCTCTGTATCAGTAGGAAAGCGATAAAATGCACATCTTCCAACCGAAGACTTGTGTTGCATTTCGGAGCAAAGCAAAAAAACATTGTCGAACAACAATATAAAATGCGGGAAACTATGAATTGGTTATTCTACAATTAAATGTACTATAAATTATACTACAATTGGAAAATACTGTAAATTGATCAACTGTTCGGCATGATGACGTTTAATGTCTCCGACAATGCCTGTAGTCCCATTTAGCAACTTATTAGTAACTGTCTTTTTTTAAGAAACGTAACAGTTTTAAAAAATCACGAGTGGGGTGATTTTATCTAAGATACGTGAAAGTATCTTGAGCTTGTGTGAACCACGGACCTTATTTTAGGGGATTTAACCAAACTCCCATTCAAAAAACGCATTGACTCTGGGACGATGGAACCGGAAGTGCTAAAATGCTAACTCACTTCCGGGGTTTTGCCAACAAAGTGACATCATAGTTCCACCACTCTATTGGCTTTCACATCTTGTCAGTATAGGGCGCTGGTACTATGAAAAGGTTCCCGCGGTGCGAAAGGCCCTTATAAGTTCTTTGATAGAGTGGGGGAACTATGACGTCACTTTGTAGGCCGATCGGCTGTTAGCATCGCACTGGTTCCCTCGACAAAAAGGCAATAGGATTTTTCCATCGGCTTTTGGATTATCGTAAAAAATAAGCTCTGTGTTCAATCATAGTTCATGAAACTTACACGTTTTGTCCATCAAGATAATCTTCACAAAAATAATATAACTTTAGAATTTTGATGCCTAAATAAAAGCACTAGAACTTAAAAGCTAAATTTATGGCTATAAACGAACTACAGCACGACGGTCACTCGCCTTCAACGTCACCACCAGCACGCTCCCGACAACTTTTTCCAACTTAATTTTAACATGTTCAGTGAAAAGGATTTAGTCTGTATATGAATTTTAATCCACGCTACATGAACCTTTTGTGAACATTGTGAAAATGAGCCTCTGAATGCATCAATTTACTAATATTTATCAATCCAGTGTCATTAATTCCAGTGGAATGTTAATTTATGCAAGATTTTTGCATCTAAATTTGCATCAAAGTTCACCTCAGAGACATATTAGAAGACATCTTTGTATATTAATAAATTTTGCATTGCTATTTCATTGCATTTACCTCTTACTATGTTTATTTCTTGTTCTCTGGCAGCTTTATTTCAGATATTTGGTCTGCATCTCATGATTCAAATGTCAGGTTTGCAGGTAGCATGTCTAAATGATAGTGTTTCTGGTTCAGGTAGAGTCAGAGATGTTTGTTTGCACACCAGTTGCCTGGTTCCCTCCCTGTAGAGGCATAATTGTGTTGTTTCCATGAATTGTTCCTGTGCACACAGTGGGCAGCTTGTGTTAATGAATCCCCAGTCATTATTTTGTTTGCACTCAAGCCTAATTGCCTTTTCCCCCCGTGCACACAGACGTATGGGAACACACAAACATGGGAACACTAAATGAAAACCTCACAAGTGGGTGGATTTGGGGGTTTCTTTAATTGAGGCCTTTTTGCTATTCAGAGAGTAGATTTGGGAGAACATTTCAGTCTTCAGCTAGCTTGGGATGTGTGAGAAAGGGACATTCTGACACTTGAACCCATGAAACTGATATTTTGGCGCTTTTCCACTGCGTGGTACGACTCGGCTCGGTACGGCTCAGTACGGTACGGCACGGCTCGGTTTGCGTTTCCACTGCAGTTTAGTATCGCTTTAGAGTGGGCGGGATTATTCACATGTCATTATAGTTGCGCCGCCTCTACTGCCGCGACTCCTAAAAAACTTTTTCATTCCGCGTCGCCCCATCAAGCTCTCACTGGATCCGCTCCTCTGCTATCAACGAGAGCAACGTCTGTACTTCCTCAACAGGGGGAACAGCCACTTTCTGGTTGTTAAAAAAAGGTGCGCTCGTTCAAAACAGTTGCATTCGATCCTTCGCTGGCTGTGCTGATTTAAATCTAGCGGTTCTTTTGTGTTTATGTCGCAAGTTCAGTGACGCAGGTAGTGACGATTCTCTCCGGCCAATCCGTGATCAGCAGAGTTTACACGTCACGTTTTGGTAACGGTACGGTTCCTTGGAACCCCAACCGAAGTGGTACTAAAAAAAGTACCAGGTACCAGGTACTGTACCCAGTGGAAAACCCCCCAAAAGTGAGCCGTACCGTGCCGTACCATGCAGTGGAAAAGCGCCATTTGAGTCTGAGAAACGTCCTGAAACATTTCCTGATTCCTATATTTCATATTTGATTTTGAAGTATGTTAATGAGGGTGTTTTCTGTTGGTATTGATTTAGCCTTATGTAGTTTCATGAAGTGTCACTTAAAACTACAACATGTTCAAAGCATTTTTGTGTATTCTCAGCACCTTGTCCAGAAATCTTAAAGGAACCTGAATGCCAATGAAATTTTTTCGTAATTTGAAACTAGTCCTCCTAATAAGATCAAACAAGAATACCATTAAATAAGATCTCATTGTATTATTATTTATTTGCTTTATTTATTATCTTTTTTATTATATAACAAATATTATATTATTTACAAATTATTATATTATTATCCAGGTGGATGCTGCACACTGGTGGTGGTTGAGGAGAGACCCCCCACATGATTGTAAAGCGCTTTGGGTGTACAGCAATACACAATAAAGTAGGGCTGAACAATTAATTCCATTGGTGATAATATTGCGATATGAAAAAAATGCGATTTTTCAATCGCAGAGGCTGCGATTACACTCGGTCACGTGACACGCGAGAGTAAAGAGGTGTGTTCAACTTGAAGATCGATCGGTGTATGACATCAAAGTATGGCGAGAGATAGCATAAGGAGACGTCCGCGCTCTCTTTTAGCTCTTGCAGTACTTTGATGACACACACCGATCGGTCTAAGCAGCGCTGCTTCAAGTCGAACACATCTAAGCAGTCTTCAGAGGAAGCATCAAGTTAATATATATAATAAAAATAAATAAAATATATTCTTAAAATAATAATTTGTCATTATAATGTCAGTTTATTTAGTTTGTAGAGAATCTTGGTTTAATCCTATTAGGATTGTTTTCCAAAGTA